AAGGCGAAACGGCTTTTTTAACGAATTTTCAAACTTTTTAAAATTTCAGCCGGAAAAAAATCGCTGGACCTTTAAAATATTTTTTTCGAAACTAGTTCATAGAAAGGGATGTTTTGGCAAAATAAAAAAAAAAATTCGAGTTTTCGTCACTGATTTTCGATTCTCGAAATATTCTGGCGGCTTCTCTTAATCACTTAACGTTGTAGAGATACGAAAAGCAATTGTGGAAATGACTACAAGAGAAAAATACCTATCGCTTTTCTTTTTTAAACATGCTTTAGCGGAGGTTTGTCTCTGCCATCTAGATGCACAAAGAATGAAATAACTTGCTCTGCCTTTCTAATAAGATTGCAATTAATAAGAATTGAAGAATAAGAAGGGAGAACAATTGTAAATCAAGAAAGTTTCTCTTTCTATAACCATTGTCGGGGGGTCTCAATGGGATTGTGGGGGGGGGGAGTCACTAGTGCGAGAGCAAAGGCATGGGCGATTGTGAGGGCGAGATTGAGGAAGAGGGGAACAGGTTGAGGAGGAGAGCGAGGACGATGGCGAGGGCGAAGAGTAGGGAAAGGACAAGAGCGAAAATGTAGAGAAGAATGTAGACGAGGCCGAGGAGGAGGGAAAAGAGTCGAGCGAGATTGTGGGAGATAGTGAAAGGGAGGGTGGAGAGGAAGGCAAGATCGGGGACGTGGGCCACAAGGGGGACTTGATTGAGGAGAAGGGCGATTCTGATGATGCTGATTTTCTCTTAATCGATGTAGAGGGCAATGATTCCACCATTGATGCTATCGCTTTATCTGGAAAATAATGATAATAAAACAAGTAGCACTAAGTTACTTGAATCAATACTTAAATACGGCGTGGGTTTGGGGGGGAGGAAGGGATAACAAGTGTTTCAAAATTTGCTCGTGAAAACTTTCCTGTATCATTGAAATATGACAGGACCCGATCAAATGCGGCTATAATTCTAGAATTTTTATTTCATTGTTATGCGAATAATTTTGTTTGGTGGTCCTCTTCTGTCAGCAAAGCAGTCTGTTCGTCCTGTGCCTCTGTCTTTACCTTCAGCTAAGGCCTCTAGAATAGAGACCACACTACTAACAGGATGTGCACGTGCACTTTTTCTTTTTATCCCACAGTAGCGCTGTCAACAGCCGAATAAGAGTATGTGACCAGTAGTACAGCGATTAAAAGATTATTTTAACTTCGATGGTTACTTACAGATGTGCGAGTAGCTCTGGAGGGGCCAAATATAGTTTATAACAAACAACCAGGGTCCTTCTGCTATGACAAAGAATCATGAGTTATGCTGGAAACAAGCACATCGATATACGGTACCGCTACGCTCGAGAAGGAGTACTATGGTGTCTTTCCATGTTATGGGCTCCGTTGGGGCAAGTATGTGGGGATTTAGGTGAAAAAAAGGCACCGCTTGGCCAACAGCTGTTTTCCTCGAAATCGTAGTTGTTTCTTATGCGGTAGCAGAGAAAGTCAAATATACATGTCAGATGTAGTTTCTAACAAAGAGAAAGTCAAATATACATGTTGATGTAGTTTCTAACAAAGCATTTGCCCGTCTCCAGAAATCGGGAACGTCTCGAGCCCGTTAAGAAATGTCAGCGGTATATCGTATTACAGATAGTTTATTATGGTGGCGGTGGAAGTGAAGTGAACACGTAACTTTCTATTTTCGTAAGACCCCGCTAGAGAAAGGCCTGGCACGTTACTATCCTAGAAAGCCAAAGGAAACGTCAGAACCAGGAGAATAGCGGCAAAATTGTGCAGTTACAGGGACTTCTATCTTTCGTGTTCTTCCTTCCAAAAATTGGGGTGTTTAAAAATGGCGTGCCTTGGGCGTGTGAGCTCTGTGAAAATACGAAGAGTCTCACGGCTCAAGGGAAATTTGTGGGCCAACACATTCAACCGTGTACGAGCGATTTAGTTGAGCCAACTTCTGCTGAATACATATCGTATAAAAAATACATATCATATAAAAACTCTGCAGAATACATATCGAACTACGCAGTTGCGAATCCTCACAAGGCTATTCCCACGATAAAAGAATTGTAACACCTAGTCGAAGCAGATTTGAAGAGTTTGTATGGGAAAATGGAGTCAGAATTGTGAGTTTACTCGTATGCCTTGGGAAAAGGTTGGCTTGAATTAGAGTATTTCTTTTTCGAAGCGATGGACGCTGTAATCGATGCAGGCTATATTTCCAGCTACGCAGCGAAATAATATCCCATTCTTAGACAGCTATTTTGGAAAAAGCAATCTTTTCCCTTACATTTTCTCGTACTGTTTGGGCGCTATTTTGCTTGTAACACGAGAATCGCCTCCGCCATATTGTTCCAAATACCTGGCAATATAAGCATCGCTACAAGAGTCTAATCAAAAAGGTCTTTAAAAAAACTGGGAACGAGAACTGTGAAATTAGAACGTCAAAAATAAAAGTGATGTTCCGACAAATTTATTTGACTTTTGCTTTTCGGGAATGGGACGGAAGTTTTAATTACATTTTTCTCTTCTATGGTATTTTTCAAGCTTTGTATTTATTAATTCTTCGTGTGAAATCCTAGTTGACTGAGCGGAATAAAGTTTTAGAATTCTTTTAATGTGTTGACAAATTCAAAAAGCGTAAACTGAAAATGCAGAAAATAACGATCAAAAATTATTCTACAAAAAGGCGTAAGGATTCACAAAATTAAAATCGAAAGCACATAGTATGACCTCTATGCACAACAAACCCTCAAGGCATGCTTTGACAACAATGGAGCAATAGAATCGGAATGGACTGATGTTGAGAATGGGAGGGTATGTGGGGGTGGGGAGTGTAACTGGCGATGGACCGAGATCCAGGGACGTGGGCCAGCTGTGCGATCGACAGCAAAGTGCTCTATTTTTGGAATTATGCTAGAACACTTTAATGATGGAGTACCGATTTTTCCACTTTAATTTAAATGGGTACCACATACAAACATGATACACTTCGAAGGAAGGTGGTGAAAATTTTATTTTCTGCTCGATCGCTTCTACAATTTTGTCGTCACATCCATGTTCTTATCCCTCCTCAAACTTCCTTTATATAAGCGTGACGTTAAATAATGAAAACAAAAACACAATTATTATTACTATTACTATTATTATTATTACTATTTTATTTTGCCTTACAGAGGCAAAAAGGGTATCTTTGCTTCTTTTTGTGCAGTTGAACTTAAATTTTCAATGAATTTTCTGTTGTATTAGTGCTGTGTTGTGAAGCCAAAGAAAGCATTTATTTCAGAGAGCATGAATCTCATATTCATTTTATGAGAGTGATTAGGGCTAAAATATTGATCCCTTGGGAAGTAACTTGTTGGTGTTCTGAAAAATACTTCTACAATTCACTTTTTGAGATTTTTAAAATAGAGCAATCGTTTTACGCCCCAATCTTTCGCTGGTCTCCAGGTGGTCGGTAAAATTCGTAGTTTTTACCTTGTTTTTGCTTTTCTCTATGAGATATCTGCTGCTTACTAACGTCATATTCAGCTGAGAAATTGGTTCCATTTTCACCTTTCTCTAATCACAAAACTGTGGACTGTTTATCTTTTATCGAAAGAACAGATCGCCAATGTTTCAAGGACGTAGTGATGGTGAGTAAACCATTCATGACGCTGTGTAGCTTGTTTGTCGAACGAGCCAATAATGCGTAAAATCTAACTTAGCAACAAAGCAACTTCCCGAGCTAATCAGATCTCATTAGAATGTTTTTCATCGGCTTCGACGCGAATGACCGCTGCTTTTACTTTTTGAAGGCGAAATAAACCTGCCTTATCTTCATTTTTCAATGCTATGGTTTTAAAAAGTATATGATGGATCTTAATCATAACTAATAGACATTCATGACAAAACTGGGACCTGAGAAAAAGTGTGGATAATCCAGAAGTCCAGATAATTGAGGTGTAGATAATCAAGGTTGGACTGTATCTCATTTTGATACCATTTATAGGTGAATGGGACCACTGGTGTTCTTTAGATATTAGTTCATCAGATATATCCCGTTTTTCAAAGTTGGAGGCCTGTAAACTGGTTGCCATGATTACAAAATGTCAATCACTACCTTAATTTGCAACTTGATTGAATGATGTTTCCAATACTTCCATAACGAATTGGACCCAGTTAGATTTTTGAAATTTGAGTGGTAGCAAATGCTAGTGTGCCATCTCTTCGTAGGCATAAATGGGAATGATTAATATCTATACTTCTCGCCGATCACGCTTTCCAGTTTGTGGGTCTAATTTCTTCGTATGTCATTAACTAAACAAACTCCGACTCAAAGGATATATGCTCAGTTTTCGTAGATCATGAGTTCGATGTAAGTTAATCAATACAATTGATCAAAAGACTAACAGTTTGCGAAGAAAATTAAATTAGGCAAGATGTCTTCTTCAGAAGCTCAAAAGTGCCTAAATTGGCTCCCTCTGGCTGGAAGACGTCTATTTCATCGTTGCACCACCGTAGAAAATGCAATCAAAGGAGACATTCCGCAACATTTTGAAAGTTTTAAATCGACATTGAGAAGTTCGCATGGCTACAACACTAGAAATGGCTACTTACCTAGACTGCCTAAACCTAAAACGGAATGCGGAAAGAGGGTGTCCTACTTCCGTTTTATAAATGACTGGATGTCCCTCCCAGTATTTTTAAGAAGGCCAATGCCATGCAAAATTTTTAAGGAAACCCTTACAAGATTCTTAATGGATAAATATTTAAATGATGGATAAAACTTTAGATATACGCCGTTTTAGATCTGTGACATTTGTATTTCTTATTTTAGCTTTTAATACTTTTTATTTTTACGGAGGACCTCCCTGAAAACCACGTATTTACGTGACGGGCGCTTCCTCCTTAAAGATTGTTTATTATTATTATTATTATTATTATTATTATTATTATTATTATTATTATTATTATTATTATTATTATTATTATTATTATTATTATTATTATNTCAGGCGATTCTTGACAAAAATTCACATCTGATATAAAGCAGAATTAGGACTTCGAATGGGCCAGTCGCTGATATAATAAGGAACTAGACCCTTTTAAGATGAATCTATTACACAACAGGCTATATTTAGCTTTTTCTGGGGTAATTCATCATGCAGCTAAAAATACTTTTCCTGTTAATTTGCGACTGGCTAAGATAATAATTGAAGACTATTAAGAAGAAGGTGACATTTACGACTAGTTGATTGCTAAGACACTGAATAACAGAATGACCCCTCTTTTTCTTAACAGATCTAGACTCTTATGCGATCGTACTTAAAAAGTTACTATTATTTCCTGACAGTTGAAGCCAGCTTCTTAAGTTTAGTGCAATTTCGATTCACATTCACCGCAAGACTGTAATGCAGTTGTCTATACATGGCCGACCTCGTTTGGTTTGGCCTATGACCTCTTCCTTATGGAATTTTTCCTTTATGGAAGATGGAAAACCATGTTCATCTTTCTTGTGAATCGCTCTCTGATCTGCAGATAGACGAGCAATCTCAAGTATGTCTTTAAGCATTCGGTTAATTGTTCACAGAACAAAATTTTGCAATCTGAACTATATGTACAATTAGTTTACTGTTTTTTTCTTACCTGAGTATTTCGCATGCAGTGGAGGACGAAAATCAGGAAACCCTGTGGCAGAGACATAGGTAATTTTTTTTGGCAATATTCTATCCAGGTAGGGAGTAGGGGCTTGCTCGAGTTTTCTTCATGCACAAGAAAGAAAGTAACATACCTATTGAAATATCTATTTAGATTACCCGGAATATGAATACAAGTAAGAAGGAAGGAAAACTGTAGATCTTTTAAATCAAGTAGAAAACTATCTCCTCCAGAAGTATTATCAGCTTTTTGTTTTAAAATTTCTAAAAAAATGTAACCTAGCCATTGTGAAACTGTCTCTCGTTTGCTGCAGAAGTAAGTCAAATAATCGAAATTGATTAAAATTTGAGAGTCACCTTTGAATACTCACCTGAGTAGAGTTGAGTATTGTGAAGATGTATGCGAAAACCTTGTCTACAGGCGAAAGAAGACCAAACAGCCACGTGACACCCAGTAGGGGAATCATTACCAGGCAGGTCTTCATACCAAGTCTAAGTAACATGATAATAAACAAGATGCTATGAGATAATAGATAGGCAACGAGGCTCTAGTTATTTAAACTTTTTTTTTTTTTTTTGGAAGAACGAAAAACACCTAAAGCTCATGACCTGGATTATCCAACGATTCAGTTTTTAATTATAGAGGTTAGAGGGGTTAATAAGTCGATTTTGTTTCCTTTCACAATGATTTGTTATCATCAGATAGTATCTAAATGCCTTACTGATTAAGGAAAGAGGAAGCTAGGTGGAAGTCGCCGCACAAGATAATATAGCACTTTGTTTATATGAGTTTGTTTTAATCTCATAAAGTGGACCTTACCGTATTTGCTGTGCATGGTTGTCTTCCCCTTCTGGCTGCACCATTGTGGTCATCTCCCTTATGACCCGCGCGAGTATCAAGATGTTCAGCTTGAATAAAAATACATTCAAAATATACGAGTATCTAGATAACGTAATCGAATATCCAAACACGTTATTCGTTTGGTAACAAGACTAGTACGAGGAAAAAAACGAAGTGAATCTTTTACTAGAAACAGAGCTCCCGACCCGCAAACCCGAATTTTGCAATTCTTAGTTGAATTAACCATCCTAAATGGCCGGAATGTTTTGCTTAATCTCATTTCTCCAACTCTTCCTGCTCTTTCCTCTCTTTCATTGTTGTTTGATGTACTATTTT